TACTGTCCAGAAATTCTGAGTTTATGTGAGTCGCAGTGTTCTAACGTATATGAACCAGCATGCGGAAATTGTAGGGGACAATTAGAAACGTTCGATAGCATATGCCATTTAGATTGCCATGAGCATCGTAAGAATGAAATCATAATTTAAAATGGAATATAACATTTAACATTTATATATGTTTAAAGGTGGCTGCGAGATGGTTCCGAATTCGAAAGGTGCATGTACAAGTCTTCACGGTCTTCAAATTGAAAGTTATCCATCAGTTAACGATTGCATTAAAAATTGTTCTCAAAATCCAAAAGATATTATATCAGTTTGTACTTTATGTACAGATGGCCAATATAAGTTTTTCGACGACAGATGCGAATTTGAGTGTCACGCACATGGTAAGATGATAAATAATTTCACTTAAGCTTTTATTATAATAAATGACTACCGTTTCAGAGTGTTTTGAGACATTTGAAGAAAATTGTGAACAAACATTAAAATTATGTGAAAGTCAGTGTCTACCAAATAAAATCCCAGTTTGTGCAATTTGCAACGGTGTTCCTGAAACATATGACAATAGATGCCTAGTAGAAGAATGTAGACAGAATAGTAAGTTAATTGTTCGATAATTATTTGATTAAATAAATTAAAACTTGTTACTTGCAGCATGTAATCCACCAACAGATGGTGTTTGTACAGAAACCGTTATAGCAGCAAGCTTGCCTCCATTTACATGTACTGATATCTGCTCAAATGATTATGAGCCTATCTGCTCAATGTGTTCAAATGGTAGAATTGAGATACAGCAAAGTCAATGTCATTTAACTTGCATGAATTCAGGTAAAACTATTGAATAGGATAAAGGAAATAGGTATTTAATTAAAGGCCAACTATATTTGATAATTTCAGATTGTGTTCCGATACCAAAAGATAATTGTCCTGAATTGTTAAACGGATGTGTGAGGAATTGTTCCGAAAGCCATGTGATTCAATATGATCCAATATGCGCATCTTGTAATGGAAAACTTGAACTAATTGAGAACTCTTGTATCCTTAACTGCCGAGAAGGAAGTAAGAATTAAAATAGTCTTTATTAATTTTATTTATTTTCAAATGTATTTTCTTAGCGTGCACGTCTTTAAATAGTAATACATGTACCGGATTGCAACCAATTGAAACTGATTTTAATAGTTGTATATCAAAATGCTCAGCAGCAACTGGCGCGGTATGCGGTATGGGAAGAGATGGTACCTTTAAAGTTTTTGAAAACTTATGTCAACTCGACTGTGATGCAGGTAAATTATGCTTATTATGTTTTCTTTTCTTCATGTCAATAAAAAATGTTCAATCTCATTCTCAGATTATTATATCATATCCAAAGAAAATTGTCCAAAGGTATTAGATGAATGCTCTGTTCTTTGTTCAATGGATAAGAGTCCAGTGTGTGGAATGCGTAATAATCAACTGGAAACATTTGATAACGAATGCATTTATGATTGTCACAAAGAGAGTAAGAATACCAAACATCTATTTAGGCTGATATATTAGATGTATATTTTTAGGTTACATTTTCATTTCCAATGGAGCATGTTCGGACTTATATGCCACTTCAACAACTTCAGCGTTATCAACAAATGCATGTATTAAAACTTGCACACATGATTATGAATATATCTGTGCCTTACGTAATGATGGTAGTCGTATGGTATATAAAAATAAATGCATATTCGATTGTTACGCTGACGGTAAGCTGATCTCATATAACTTAATTTAATAGAAACATAAATATAATGACAAATTCATCTTAGTACATGTTATGCAACCGAAAGAGATGTGTGGAGATCTTTTACCTAATTTGGAATCGGAGTGTCCACAAGAATTTGTACCAGCATGCGGAGATTGCAATGGTGACAGAAAAACCTTCAACCATAGGTGTAATTTGGAATGTCAGATACCACGTAAGACTGAAATAGTTGCTTGTTATATAAAATATAATATGATAAATCTTTAATTCCTTTTGATTTTCAGCATGCACGTTTATATCGTATGGAACTTGTGACAATATGATACCGACACACGTTAGCGGTCCACAATCGAATGCTACAACCGGAGTGACATATACAACTACAACAACTACGAATAATAATACAACATGGAGTAACTATACTTCATATACCAGCACAAATTATACCGCAATAACTACAAGAACCAGCACTAGAATAGCAAAATATAGATTTGATCAGTGCACAAGTATTTACTCATATCAATATGATCCTATCTGTGCCCTCTGTACTGATCGTCAATATTATAAATTTGATAATGACTACGGATTTAATTGCAGAAGTAGAGGTATATTTTGACTCTCTTGCTAATAATAAAATAGAAAATTATGCAAAATGTAACTTTTAGAATGCGTTGAAGTGGAAGAAGGATACTGTCCAGAAATTCTGAGTTTATGTGAGTCGCAGTGTTCTAACGTATATGAACCAGCATGCGGAAATTGTAGGGGACAATTAGAAACGTTCGATAGCATATGCCATTTAGATTGCCATGAGCATCGTAAGAATGAAATCATAATTTAAAATGGAATATAACATTTAACATTTATATATGTTTAAAGGTGGCTGCGAGATGGTTCCGAATTCGAAAGGTGCATGTACAAGTCTTCACGGTCTTCAAATTGAAAGTTATCCATCAGTTAACGATTGCATTAAAAATTGTTCTCAAAATCCAAAAGATATTATATCAGTTTGTACTTTATGTACAGATGGCCAATATAAGTTTTTCGACGACAGATGCGAATTTGAGTGTCACGCACATGGTAAGATGATAAATAATTTCACTTAAGCTTTTATTATAATAAATGACTACCGTTTCAGAGTGTTTTGAGACATTTGAAGAAAATTGTGAACAAACATTAAAATTATGTGAAAGTCAGTGTCTACCAAATAAAATCCCAGTTTGTGCAATTTGCAACGGTGTTCCCGAAACATATGATAATAGATGTCTAGTAGAAGAATGTAGACAGAATAGTAAGTTAATTGTTCGATGATTATTTGATTAAATAAATTAAAACTTGTTACTTGCAGCATGTAATCCACCAACAGATGGTGTTTGTACAGAATCCGTTATAGCAGCAAGCTTGCCGCCATTTACATGTACGGATATCTGCTCAAATGATTATGAGCCTATCTGTTCAATGTGTTCAAATGGTAGAATTGAGATACAGCAAAGTCAATGTCATTTAACTTGCATGAATTTAGGTAAAATTCTTGAATAGGATAAAGGAAATAGGTATTTAATTAAAGGCCAACTATATTTGATAATTTCAGATTGTGTTCCGATACCAAAAGATAATTGTCCTGAATTGTTAAACGGATGTGTGAGGAATTGTACCGAAAGCCATGTGATTCAATATGATCCAATATGCGCATCTTGTAATGGAAAACTTGAACTAATTGAGAACCCTTGTATCCTTAACTGCCGAGAAGGAAGTAAGAATTAAAATAGTCTTTATTAATTTTATTTATTTTCAAATGTATTTTCTTAGCGTGCACGTCTTTAAATAGTAATACATGTACTGGATTGCAACCAATTGAAACTGATTTTAATAGTTGTATATCAAAATGCTCAGCAGCAACTGGCGCGGTATGCGGTATGGGAAGAGATGGTACCTTTAAAGTTTTTGAAAACTTATGTCAACTCGACTGTGATGCAGGTAAATTATGCTTATTATGTTTTCTCTTCTTCATGTCAATAAAAAATGTTCAATCTCATTCTCAGATTATTATATCACATCCAAAGAAAATTGTCCAAAGGTATTAGATGAATGCTCTGTTCTTTGTTCAATGGATAAGAGTCCAGTGTGTGGAATGCGTAATAATCAACTGGAAACATTTGATAACGAATGCATTTATGATTGTCACAAAGAGAGTAAGAATACCAAACATCTATTTAGGCTGATATATTAGATGTATATTTTTAGGTTACATTTTCATTTCCAATGGAGCATGTTCGGACTTATATGCCACTTCAACAACTTCAGCGTTATCAACAAATGCATGTATTAAAACTTGCACACATGATTATGAATATATCTGTGCCTTACGTAATGATGGTAGTCGTATGGTATATAAAAATAAATGCATATTCGATTGTTACGCTGACGGTAAGCTGATCTCATATAACTTAATTTAATAGAAACATAAATATAATGACAAATTCATCTTAGTACATGTTATGCAACCGAAAGAGATGTGTGGAGATCTTTTACCTAATTTGGAATCGGAGTGTCCACAAGAATTTGTACCAGCATGTGGAGAGAGGTATGGAGAGAGGAAAACCTTTAACCATAGGTGCAATTTGGAATGTCAGATCCCAAGTAAGACTGAAAAGATAGATTACTTTGTGATATGTTATCGTAAATAAATGATTACTTTTTTTTTAAGAGTATACGTTTTTGTCATATGGAACTTGTGAAGATATCACAACCACAGCTGTAACTTCGACTGATTTATGTAGAATTAAATGCGGATATGGAGCTGCTCCTATTTGCGGTAATTGTAATGGAGTGATGGAAACTTTCGAAAGCAAATGTTTTATGGAATGTGATGCACCAAGTAAAAATTTAATATCTTTGAAAATTTTTTGGTGTCTAATATAGTTTATGTTTTAGCATGTGAGTATGTTTCTGATGGAGAATGTGAGATCCAGCAGATTTCAACACTGGCTCCCGTTGATTGTGATATAGTCTGTAAAGACCACCAATATATCCACGAAGTGTGTACCATGTGTGTGGACAATAAAAGAAGAATTTTCAGAAACGAATGTTACTTTAATTGTAGAGGTCAAGGTAAGAATATTAAGTTGTTATAACTGATACAAAAATCTCATTAAAATTATATAAAGCATTAGGATGTCAACAAGAAGACAAAGAGAACTGTCCTCTTATTTTAAAAAATTGCAAAGCGAACTGCAATATGGTTGCCATTAGTCCTGTTTGCGCAGATTGTGGTTCTGAAAGGATAACACTAGAGAATGAATGTGTTCTTGGTTGTTATGCTCCAAGTACGGCAGAAAATTTATCGTCATTTGTTTATTTTGAATTAAATAAATATGTAATTACAGAATGTGTGAAGATTTCAGATGGTAATTGTACAATCACTACTACAACTGCATCTGAACCGTGTATCGCAAGTTGTGGAACTGACATTGATTATGTATGCTCATACTGTACAGATGGAAGAAGAAGAATTTTCAAAAACAATTGTTACTTTGGGTGCAATGGTGCAGGTAAGAATATTTCGGTTTTACATTAAGAGGTAAAAATGACATACTCGTCTATATACTTAGCTTTAGGTTGTACAAAGGATGAGAAAAAGAACTGTCCTGCTATTGCAAATCTTGAAAGCACGACTGTAATCACTACTACAACTGCATCTGAACCGTGTATCGCAAGTTGTGGAACTGACACTGATTATGTATGCTCATATTGTACAGATGGAAAAAGAAGAATCTTCAAAAACAACTGTTACTTTGGATGTAACGGTGCAGGTAGGAACAGTTATAGTATTACAAGAAGAAGTGTTAATTATATATTCGTTTATGTGTACAGCATTAGGATGTACAAAGGATGAGAAGAAAAATTGTCCTGCTATTGCGGATCTCGAAACTACAACTGTAGCCACTACTACAGTTGCATCTGAACCGTGTATCGCAAGTTGCGGAACTGACACTGATTATATATGCTCATACTGTACAGATGGAAAAAGAAGAATTTTCAAAAACAATTGTTACTTTGGGTGCAACGGTGCAGGTAAGAACAGTTATAGTATTACATGAGGAAAAGTTAATAATATATTCGTCTATGTGTACAGCTTTAGGATGTACAAAGGATGAGAAGAAGAATTGTCCTGCTATTGCGGATCTCGAAACTACAACTGCAGCCACTACTACAGTTGCATCTGAACCGTGTATTGCAAGTTGTGGAACTGAAACTAATTATGTATGCTCATACTGTACAGATGGAAAAAGAAGAATCTTCAAAAACAATTGTTACTTTGGATGTAACGGTGCAGGTAGGAACAGTTATAGTATTACAAGAAAAAGTGTTAATAATATATTCGTCTATGTGTACAGCTTTAGGATGTACAAAGGATGAGAAGAAGAATTGTCCTGCTATTGCGGATCTCGAAACTACAACTGTAGCCACTACTACAGTTGCATCTGAACCGTGTATCGCAAGTTGTGGAACTGAAACTAATTATGTATGCTCATACTGTACAGATGGAAAAAGAAGAATCTTCAAAAACAATTGTTACTTTGGATGTAACGGTGCAGGTAGGAACAGTTATAGTATTACAAGAAGAAATGTTAATTATATATTCGTTTATGTGTACAGCATTAGGATGTACAAAGGATGAAAAGAAGAATTGTCCTGCTATTGCGGATCTCGAAACTACAACTGCAGCCACTACTACAGTTGCATCTGAACCGTGTATCGCAAGTTGTGGAACTGAAACTAATTATGTATGCTCATACTGTACAGATGGAAAAAGAAGAATCTTCAAAAACAATTGTTACTTTGTGTGCAACGGTGCAGGTAGGATCAGTTATAGTATCACGTGAGGAAATGTTAATTATATATTCGTTTATGTGCTCAGCTTTAGGTTGTACAAAGGATGAGAAGAAGAATTGTCCTGCTATTGCGGATCTCGAAACTACAACTGTAGCCACTACTACAGTTGCATCTGAACCGTGTATAGCAAGCTGTGGAAGTGCTGTTGACTATGTATGCACGTATTGTACAGATGGAAAAAGAAGAATTTTCAAAAACAATTGTTACTTTGTGTGTAACGGTGCAGGTGGGAACAGTTACATTATTGCATAAGGAATATTAAATAATATAGTCGTTTATGTGCTCAGCTTTAGGTTGTACAAAGGACGAGAAGAAGAATTGTCCTGCTATTGCGGATCTCGAAACTACGACTGTAGCCACTGAAACGTGTGTGTCAAGCTGTGGAAGTGTTGCTGACTATGTATGCACCTATTGTACAGATGGGAAAAGAAGAATTTTCAAAAACAATTGTTTCTTTGGGTGTAATGGTGCAGGTGAGAATAGTTGTGGTTATAAATTAGGTGCTTTTAGTGACATACTCGTATATGTATTTAGCTTTAGGTTGTACTAAGGATGAGAAAAAGAACTGTCCTGCCATTACTGATCTTGAAACTACCACACCAGCACAAACTGCATGCGGTAAAGAGTGTCCAACAACTGAAAATCAAGTTTGTGGTGTATGTGGAAAAGAAGAAAGAACGTTTAAAAATCTGTGTTTATTAAATAAACAAAATTGTGAAACACAACGTAAGTTGATTATTTTAATTTCTTTAAATATTATTTGATTAATATATCTTCCTCATATGTAGAATGTACCTTCAAATCTCAAGGCGCATGTAGCTGCGTTAAGGTTTGTCCTACCACAACTGCTCAAGTGTGTGCGACTTGCAATGGACAAAACACCAATTTCCGTAATATGTGTATGTTAGAGAATCGCAATTGTGGAGTGGATAGTAAGTTTAGTTTTGCAAAACAAAATTTTAGTCACTATATTATATTATGAATTTTTAGAATGCATTCTGCAACACAGTGGTGCTTGTAAGCCAGCAGAAGTGGATCCTTGCACACGTGTTTGTCCTGATGTTTCAAGTCCAGTATGTGCTCATTGCCCTGGTAAAAGAATAAACTTTAAAAATATGTGTGCTTATCAAAAATGGAGTTGTCAAAACAAAGGTCTAAATTTTAATATTGTAGTAGTTTAGATATATAAAACAAATATATATATTTTTTTAGGTTGCACTAAAGTAACAGCTGGTGTGTGCCAGGCAACGGATCCTTGCATTAAGGCTTGCCCTAATACCATAAGTACTGTCTGCGGCCTTTGTAATGGTCAATTACTGAAATTTGAAAATCAATGTGAATTTGACATCAAAAATTGTCAAATGGGTCATAGTATGTTTTCTTCATTAATATACTATATATTTTATTCTTACTTATTTATATAATTTTTTTTCAGCTTGTCACCAAAAGCCGGAACTAATATGCAAACTTATACAGCATTTTGAAGCCAAACTAGCACATTTCTAGGACTATTGCTAGTTTTATTATCAAAACTTTTTTAATAATTAATAATTATATTTATAAAAAAATAAATAACAATAATAATAAAAAAATTTATATATAATGATTGTGAAAAACAATTTCTTTGTTCTAATTTCAAGTCGTTATAAGTTATTTAAATACAATTTATGAGAGATTATCTCATTGAAGTGTGAAGTTTTTTTTTAAATTCTCCATTTCCTTATGACTTAAAAAAAAATTCCCCGTAAAAATATTTAAAAAATTTTTTATTATCTATACGTTTTTATGAATTGAAAAAAAAAAAATCACACGCTGAATCAATTTCAGAATTATTTTTTTTATTAAAAATTTAGTTTCATAATGACTTCAGTGTGGTTGGGTTGTCTGTTGCTTATAGCGCCGCTATTAGTCGTGTCAGAAGAAAATATTAACCCTATTCCACCATCACGATGCTCGCGTGGTCTGGTTATCGACTGTAGGACTGATTATTACGATCCAGTGTTTGCAACTATGGACCACATAAAATGTGTTGAATATCAGAACAAGTGCTTTTTCGAGAATAATAATTGTTATAAATATTTGCATAAATTACCACGTAAGTCATTTGTTGCTTAATATTCATGAATATATATATTAATTAATGTAAATACATTTTTAGTTGCCGTAGTGATAACAAGAGAGGAGTGCGATAAGCTTAAAATTTCATGATAGTATAGATTTTATAATTTGTTATATTCAAAAAATTTATCTTTTTAAAAAATTATCAAAAATTCAAATAATAAAATAAAATGTGATGAATTTTAATTATTGAAAATAATATCTTTTTATATGTTATCTAGAATTGTATGTTATTGTATTACAATGGTATGTTTCAATAGAGTTTGATTTTCTCAGTCATCACAATAGAAAATAATATACTTAAATATGCATATTTTAAAGATTAGAATCAAAAAAAAATTTTAAAACAATGTTATAATCAAAAATAAAAAAATTTAAAAACTAGTTTTTGATGAACTTTTCGTGAATAAATTTGGTAGTACAATGAAATGTGTAAATAATAAATTTCATAATTGATTTGAATGTAATTGAGCAAATCGAAACTTAAAAAGTTAAAATGTTAATGAATAACAGAAGAGGAGTGGGTGTTGTAATTTTTTTCTAACAATATCTATAGTTACAGCCTTTTGGAACGAAATGTTAGAATATATCAGTTACCGACCTAATTTTAGGTTCAGCGCACGCCACAAACATTTTACTTCGGGTTATATGTATAACTAGTTCAGAAAGCAGTTGTATATCTAAGCTCAAGTCTATTTAAACTTAGAAATTTGTACGTACTATCATTGCTTACCGAATTATTTTTTTTTGCATTTACAGAGAACTTTAATATCCCCCCAATATTGATATACAAATATTTAGATAATCTATGTAGATCTTGCCGTGTTAGAGGTTGAAATAGTTGGCAACAAATTGCTACGCATAGACCCCCATGTTTTTAGCGTTATAATATAAGTTGCACTGATAAGATAAATCTGCTGGTGAAGCTTTATGAGTTTCAAAACAATCTATGACAATATATGTTATATATATGCATATAGATATATATATATATACATATATATATTTCTTTTTCCGGTACACTAAACACATATTTGACATATATAAAGTTCGGATATTATATCAATAGATTCTTATTTGCTTCGATTTCTGCAAATATACTCTTATGTTGGCGTAAAGTTAACTATAAAAAGGGTCTAAAAACCACTTGCGTCAGTTCTGAAAGGCACGAAGTTATCAAAAAAAATATATAGTTTAAAATTAATGAAATTGTTTTTAATAATAATTTTGTTTTTTAACGGGCTAATTGATCAATAGTTAAATAATAAACTTTTTAAAAATTTTTTTTTGGTTTTAAAAGATTTTATTCTAATTGATACTTTGACTATATCAGGGAACTATATAATATTAATACAATGTAACAATATTTTAAAATTGTTTTTGAAACATGTCAATTTTTAGTTTAAACACAACATTTTTATAATATAATCTTTAATTTATTATAATGTAATCAATTCTCGATACTTCTTGACTGAAGAATAATATCTTCGAATCATACATATCTCTGTAATTTTTAATACTTATTGAAATTATATATTAAAGGTCATGTTATGAAAATTTGAGAAGAAGAGCAAGAGCGAATTCGTGACTAAATCTGGGTGACAGTAACAAGGTTTTCTGTGACTTGTCACGTTTGTCTAAATGTATTGGTCAATAATAAATGTATGTACTTTCACCTTTAAGTCGGAAATATTTGCATTTTTGTATGGATAAGCTGGATTCGTTATGCTTTAAATTTTATTGAAATAAGTGCTCAAAGAAAGGTCTTATATGATAGAAAATTTTCTAATTTTGAGTTTAACTATATCTGCATGTATAAAGATATGAATTAAATGTGAAGAAAATATAAGTTCATCTTCACAGACATTAAGATTTAGAATTTAAAAGTGATTGTAGACAGAAAGACTAATAGATTGTATAACTGCATAGATAATTAAGAGCAAAATATTAATAAGAAAAAGAATAATAAGAAAATAGATCTATGGAATTGGTATTAAAGATTATAAACGGGTGTCAGAAATACAGATACTATGGTTTTGTTTAATCAAATCTGTTATTGGAGATATTGAATAAGAACAGTTGATTATTGTTTACACTTTCTATTTTTCTAAAATATTTATGTCTTTATTTACTTGATTGCAGAATATTATAAATATATGCATATATTAAGAGAGATAAGAATTAGCTGTGTATATAAAGGGTGTTTTTTTATCAAATAGAATAAGTATGGGTGGTGATATTTGGTCAAAGAAATAAAAAAAATTGGATTATTAATGGAAAAATAGAAGAATTTAATTTAATTTCGTTTAACATTGAAAATGAACTATATAAAAAATTTTCGTTATTTCTAAGACTAAAAATTACATACCACATTTATTCTATTTGGTTTTAATACACCCAGTATACAATAATATGCATTATTAGACATTAAAAATATTTGCATTTCATTAAAAAGAGTGTATTTATTTTATATAAATATATATGAATTAATTTTTTTTATAAATTTTTTGTTTAAGTTAAATTTAAATTTATGAACTTTTGCATAAGATATATGCACCTGATAAGAGCTCACAAAAAAAGAATGTATTTATAAAATAAAAAAAATAAAAATATAATAAAAACAATAAATAAAGCAGAAACTCTTTTACTTCATATAAAAGTTGAAGCTGAAATATATTTTATCAGTTAACGAAATCTCGCTGCAGTGAAAAATGCTCTTGAAGTTCATTATTTTCTTAGGATGCTGTATTTGCATTGCTATAACAGCCGACACTCAGATAAAGTGTGAACGTCTATGTCCTGATGTCAACTTACCGATTTGTGCACAATGCAATGGAAAACCTGCCCAATTGAAAAACTTTTGTGAATTACAAAATAGAAAATGTCATGCTGAAAGTAAATGTTTAAATAAATTAAAGAAAATCAATTTTAAAAATATAACCGGAGTCTAAATATTTTAGGATGTTACTTCCTTTGGTCCGGACCCTGCGAAAGGCGTCGACCAGAGGCAGTGCGTGGAAAACGTGAAGTAGCCATTGAGGAAGTTGATAATTGTAATTTCGCTTGCACGATGATGTATCAACCAGTTTGTGCCCGCTGTGGTAAGGAATATGTCACTTTCGGTAATTCCTGTGCCATGCAGTATAGAAATTGTAAAACAATAGGTAAGAATACTAGTGAAAAAATATATACCAAATTTCTACTTTATATAAAATAAATAAAAAATTTTGTATATATTTCAGAATGTGAGATTGTTTCCAATGGGGCATGTGCTGAAATCATGTAGATAGCCTAAAAGATAATTAAATGAAAAATATAGTAAAAAATTTATTTTTTCTTAATAAAACAAATTGTTTTATTTATAATAGTATAAATTAAAAATCTGAGTTAAGACTTTTGTTGTAGTAATTCATTATTAAATTGGTTAATAATATTTTATTATGCATTTTATTATAAATAAATAAATAAAAAAAATATAAAAGATTGAAATAAAATAAATAAATAAATAAAATAATTTTTGAATAAAACATTTAGTTTCTCTCTCAGTGAGACGATTTAATATTTGTAGAGTATACCTGGTACCAGTTATTATAAATTTGATACGTATCGAATTAGCTGCATCTACAATTGAAAGTTTAACGCTTGAAGATAAATATACTGGTATTTTTAAAACCATATTTTAGACATCTTCATTTGCAATTTTTCATGCAGTAAGCTCCACACTTAAAGTTAAGTCTCATATAGCCACTCGATGTGAGAACTTATGTATGTCACTTATATCGAAGTGACTTCAATGAAGATCTTTGCTTGAGTAATGATCGATTAGTTCTATATATATCTGTATAGATTAGTTTTCATATTTTTTACAAGGTTGCTCACATGATAGGATATAAGTATAGAAACTGAGTAAAGCTAAAATATTTCAGTTTTGTATTTAAAATTTAATATTATATATATGAAACTATATTTTATTATAATTAAAACATTCCAAAGTCGTAATAGTAATATTAAATACTTAAACTTTTTAATTAATTATTAAATTATTAATTAATATGGCTGCCATATTGGATTCATATTGTGGAATTATGTTAGTATATTATTCCATTCAGAACAAAATCGCTAGCATTGAGTAAGGAGGGTTCTAGAGAACTTTAAAAGTTTAATTTTCAAAGTTAATAAAAAAATAATGAAAATAATTTTTTCAATGACAGATGGCAAGTATAATAGCGAATATAATAGAATAGAATTAATAAAAAGATGATTCACATAATTGGTTAATAAAAAAAAGTTTAATATAAATTAATATATGTATATTTTTAATATATCTATTTAAGAGTATACACATATTTAACAGTAGTGATTATTTGTACAGTTGTTTTAGATTAAAATCAGTATAAGAAAAATAATTATGGAAATGACAGCTGATGAATATTTGGTAAATATTTTGTTAATAACGACATAGAAAAATAAACAAAAATTTTATAAATAAACTCTAAAATTGATTCTAACATTTTAATAAATTTATTTAAATGGCTGTATATGTGTAAGACATAGTTATAAATATAAATTATATAAATAAACGTATGCAATAATATATACATATATATAAAATGCTTTAAATTGTTGTTTCTGAGAATATTGTGTTTAATTAAATCTAATTTGGATTTGAAACATTTATATACTTATACAGGGTGTTTCGTAGTGAATTTGTGCTGTTTTTGTAGAAAAAGTATTAGGAATTACCTAATACTTATACTAATTCAAGAGACGATTCCGGGAAAATGGTGCATGATTGAAGGAAATTTCTGAAGGTTGAATGAATCATTTTTGAGATATTGAAAGTTTTGTTAAGTTCAATTATTTTTAATATCCTGGATTTCGATAAATATTATAACAGCTTCCTTTTATGAGATGTTTAAAAATGCGAACACATACAAATCTTTTCTGAAATTTAATCTAAATTATAAATGAATTTTTTTACAGATATGACAATAGATCTTATGAGTCATAGTATACTGAAATTTTATGGATCATGATACACAATTGAGTTTTAGTAACAACAAAAACTGACGTCGTTGGGACTCTTGCATCACAGAAATATCTCAGAAATGAGATATCGAACTGGACTGGATGGATTAGAAATAAACAACTGAAAGTCTATAAATATAACATTAAAATTAACTGGATATGAACTGGACTGGATGAGATATCGAACTGGATTGGATGGATTAGAAATAAACAACTGGAAGTCTATAAATATAAGCTTAAAATTAACTGATTAATTTTTGAGTTATTATATTAATTTTTTTTATTTAAACTTATTTTATTTATACTATTTAATTTTTTAAAGCTGAATTCTTTAATAGGCAACTATTTACTAATAAAGTATTTTAAATGAAAAAATTATTATATATTTTATAATCATATACTTTTTTATATAGTATATTTTAAAATTATTTAGATCTTGTAATAAATTTTTAAATTATTATATTTATTTATTTTTATTATTTATAAAAAATTTTTTTATATTATTAAAGACTTTGATTCTATTCCAAATTATCGGTAGTAATTTTGATAATACATATTTAAATGTATGCTTTTGATTTGAGAAAGATAATTTTTTTAGAATGGTATCAGAAAAGTTTATTAAGGAGGTTAGTTAAATGAGAAAAAAATCGACTTGTACTTTATCTATAATATTATAATAAAATAATAATAAAATAAAAATATAATTAAACGTTCAATCTTTGAACGTTTATATAATTAATTAAATAAAGTTATCTATATGTGTAGTTCTCTGCAGAAAAAGACTTAAGTCTTTATGACATGTTTACTTTAATATATTATCACAGCTTAGTACATTACAATTAAAGTAATTTAAAAGGTTTATTATGAAAACCAAAAGATTTACCAAAGGCGGTTAAGGATCTAATTACACAATGCACCTCCGGTATATGTGCGCCTCAGCACCACTTTCTATATTCAGGACTGGCATCACAATAATAATAATTTATTTTTATTTAAAAGAGAAAATTCTATTTATTTTTATAAGTTATGGTATGCATATAATATATATAATTTTGATGTAGTTTTTATTTAAGTACAGGTACCCACACGGGAATTCAAATATGCTGAAAAAAAATGAGAAAGTTTGTTTAAAATACTTAAAAGATTAAATAAACATGGCATAAATCTACCTGTTTCAGTAGCACAGGACCACTTGTCTAGTTCACATTGGTTGGGGAAGGTTAAACTAACCTGACTCGTTTGTCCATTGCTTAAAGGATAAGATATAAAGGCACAGACTGGTATGTTACCGGCATTGTCACATGTTGTGACACAATTTTGTTGACAAACATCCTGAACTGTTTCCACCATTTCTACAATATACAATATATATAATAATACAAAAATAGATTCAAGTATATAGTTTAATTAATTAATAAATTTTTCCTAATTAAAAATTTGTAATTACATTTAATAGAAATTTAAACTTCTTCATTTTTATATCAAATTATTATCACTCACCAGGTAAACAATCATTTTGACGTTGGCACTGATCGGTTATGAAGACACATCTATTTAGTATTGGTCTGCAAATGCCATCTACTTGAACCCAAATTGGTGTTGCATTAGCGTATATATTGCAGCGAATACTCAAGAAGCAAGGCTTTGGACAAACCGTTAATAATGACTCGTCAACAGTAGTCAGATTTTGTGGAATTGCAATCCTCAATGCATTGATATGCGCAGATAAGAGCGATGCTAACAGACACACGAAGATAATGCGGTATGTAAACATGTTGAAACCTAAAGAGATAACGTTCAAAATTATACTAATTCATTTTCAATGTATCTTGATATTTATATGAATATAAATTGTGCGGTCTGTTTCATTTAAATTTATACAACTGTGTACACTGTATTCAACAATTCCCAAACTTATAGACGTCAGCGGTCTCGATTTAAGTTTAAAAATTCGAAAGAATTTAAAAATAAAATATATATTTAATTATCTTTAGAAAAAAAAATTAATTAGTTTTAATGAGCAGAAAATATTTATTTTATTAACTTTTTATTTAATATTATATTAACAAATATTTTTAATTGAGTACATAAAAGTTCAGTGCTGTGATATAAAATTTTGACTAGCTAGCAAAAACAAATGTTATCATTATATATAAATGTGTGTATACTTTATATTTCTTATATTTAGCAAAAAATTTTATAAATGTTGTTATACAAATGTACAAAATGTATATATTTTATGGATTTTATTTAAATTTTGTAACTTAAATTATAATAAATTCAACTCCAGTGTTAGTGAAGAAACATACTTATAGTTATTAATGATGGCAATACTGTTTTATTAATAAATGTATGAAGTTAACATTGGATTTATATTATATTAAACATCATTTAAGCACCAAATAGAGTAAGATTTAGAAGAATTATTGAGACCCTCTGCCGCACTGGATAACTTGGATAATAGTAGTAAACATCATATATACAGAATTATTTAAATAGTACTAGCCAACACTAGTACTATACACTTTACAGTACATTTTAATGCGGTTTCATTTTTCATTACAACTCGTTTGTTGTGGTATTTTTGTTTTACCACACAATTCTCTTAATTTCTAAATGTTCATGACGTTGTTCATCGATCCCATTTCGCTTGTTAGTTTCCTGCATATTGGTCATCACTATATTTTCTTTATTTATTATAGTATTTTTATATATGATTAAATATGAAATATAATTATAAAATGATTATCGAAGATGGTCAAAAAATTAAATTTATTAATAAAATTAAAAAAAATATATGTAATTATTTTGTTATACTTTTTATTTGATATAAAGATTAATAATAACGTATAAAAAACATATTTGTATTTTTCCTCATAAGAGCGCATTTTACACTACTCAAGTTGGCAACACCGGTTTTTGCTTAGACATGGCATTTTTTTATGTCTAAAACAGAAAAGTGAAATCAAATTGGAAATAATATTTGTTCTGTCCATTATTAATTACCATTCCAAACCTATTTCAAAGTGTAATCTCATATTGCAGACTTATGAAGTCACTAAATCAATTTCTTAATAAAATTTATAGCGTTTAATAAATTTTTATTAAAATAAAAAGACCGACTCATATGTGTATAGTTAAATTATTAAGTTTGTAATAAATAAACTAAATGAGAATTATAACAACATTATTTTGTTCTCCGTTAATGAAATAAAATAATGGCAATATATGGAAGGGATTCTAGCAAAAGAATACTAAATAGATTAATACTAAATTTGGTGCACAAAGTGTTATTGAGCATACACTGGAAGGTTAGTTAAAACTCTTTTCGATTTTTGTATCAGATCTTATGTAGAGATTTTTACTTTAAAATAATTATGTTCAAGTTATTTTGTAGCTTGCTTTACTAATTTCTAAAGTGCACATTATTTATTTAGACATAATTTTTATAAATAAATTAGATATACATTTTATTTAGAATAAGCGATTCTAGTTTCATTTATCCGCATTTAAGTTAATATTAAAAATGCATTTTTTTAAATTTTTCTGGTTATAACTAAACTTAAATTTTGATTTTTAAAGTCGAATATGACGCTTTTTATGACGAAAAGAAACTATTTTTAAGTTAGAAGGGTTCGAACAGTAATGAAGAAACAACAACAAAAATTTTAATTCATTTATTGAAATTTAACTGATTACACAACGCTGTTTTGAGTATTGCCAAGTATTCATCATCTTTAGGAAATTATTAAAAGCCAATTTTATAGTCGAAAGTTTTGTCTTAATACTGACTTAAGTTATACTTGTCATAAGCTTTGCTGATTTAATCCATACATTCATTTGAGACTTGACTAACTAGTGTGAAATCGGCACTTTGTAAGTAAACGGTCTAATAATTACTACAAATAAGTTCAACATTTTTACAATTTTTTTCACATTATAATAAATTTATTTTATTCATTATCAACATTATAATAATATTACTTACAGTATAAAAAAAATAATTTTTTTATGAGCAAATCCCTTTTATAGGTAACATAAAAGCTGTAATAAAATTTATAATAATAATAATAATTTGAAGTAATACTCACATAAATTTCAAAGCATACTTACGTATCCCATTCCAGCAAGACCATTTATCGAGATGGCATTGACTAGGAAATGTTAAATCTATTTTGCTTGCTCTTGGCCCGGCCATATAAATAAAGTTGGCACAAACTGGCAATAGAAGTTTATTTATATCACATGATGTGGGACAACTCATTTGACATTCTTCTTTGGTTAAATTTGGATATTCTGTGCACCAGAAATAATAAGTTAACTAGTTGAATAAGTACAATTTTATATTAATCTAATTATTATTATTTTACCTGTCATATTCATACTGCGATGTATACAGTTTAATTTATTTAAGATACAATCATTGGGAAAAACACGACAAGTGCCATTGACTATAGACCAAGATGGATTCCCTGTGAAATGATACATGCAGTCTAACTTACTGCAGTTAGCAAATTGTGAGTCCACCAGAGATTGTTGCTTCCTTTGTCTTGTTTCACATAACCAAAATGCAGTAAAAACACTCAAAATGATGAAATATCTGAAATACATATTTTAAAATAAACTGGAAATGTGTATCTGCGTTTTATCAACAATTCGCTTAACTAAATTTTTTAAAAAGAGAACTCTAATGTATGAGTTTAAGTATAATTGCATAGAAATTATTATGGAAAATACTTAAGATAATTGTACAAACAACGAAGTAGAGGTACTCTGTCTCTGAGCAAGTGACTGACAAGATAATAAAAATGGGGTTTTTGCAAAGTATTTTTTAATCATTTAAACACATTCTACATTTGTTGTACTAACAATAGATTCCGATTTTGTTGGTGTGAATTTGCATTAATTGCTGTATTACCATATTTTAGATTTAAAGTACAACACCGAATCCATATCAGTTACTGTTTAGTTTGTTAGAAGCGTTCATTAACTAAAAAGTTTATTTATGGTGTGCTCTTTAACTATTGTATAATCGAATTGATTACAAGTGTTAAGTTTGAATAAAGTACGGAAGATATAGTAGTAAACAACTAATAGAACTAATTCGCATTTGGTAAATTGTTTTTTTTTAGTATATAATAAAACAGATACATTATAGTGGAGTTTTAAGTGATTTTAGTGATTCCCAACCTTCCAGCGTAGCCTAATCGGTAACGCTGATTCCTAGCAACATACCGTACTCGGTAACGTTGATTCCCAACCTTCCAGCGTAGCCTAGTCGATAACGTTGATTCCCAACCTTCCAGCGTAGCCTAGTCGGTAAGGTTGATTCCCAGTCTACCAACGTAGCCCAGTCGGTAACGTTCAATACCCTTCTTAATACTAATCAGTTTCTCCTGTTTCAGGAATTATTTTAAAAATTATAATTTTGGTAGTTAATAGATTATAAAAATATTGTAAAATAAAGGAAAATATATAATAAATAAAAATAAGAGTAAAAATTGAGCTATCCCAGCTATCAACGGCCGTGAATAGGTTCATTATAAGTTTAGTATTGGCTTCAATTATCAAATTGCATATATTGCATCATAACTTATACACCATAAGAAACATTTTGTGCAAAAATTAACCGGATTTTATAATTTAAAAATGCGTAAAATATATCACCATAATTTTTTTTTGAGAGTTGGTAGCTCTATATTATGTGTAGCATTAGAGTACTAGTGTATGCAAGGCACACACAAATCTCAAAAAGTTTGAAACATGCGTTAATTTTTTAAGTGTATTTTAATTGAAGTTAAGTATTCCTCATTTAGGTGTTCACACCAACACTTATCAATATGTTATAAACATCTGTTATGTTTGGTAAGTAGTTTATTTAAGTTAAGTATTCCTCATTTTAGCTGTTCACACCGACGCAAGAGATATGTTTACTGATTTTGAACGAAAAGTAGTGTTCAGATCAGCATATTTCTTTCGTTCACATATAAAATGAATAAAATTCGTGTGTGGAACTGTACGGGACAAGCGCAACTCAAGTTAGTATTGAGACTTAAATTACGATTGCTTAATCGGCCCAAAGAGAATTAGTATACCTTTCACACTGAAATTTCAGTTGATTTGAATTTAACATAAGCATTAATTTAAGTCTAGTTTTATATAATTTTTGACTTCTCACTACTTCAGAAAGTTAATGTTGCTTAGTTGTGATTAAGTGGGTTTTCCAGAATATATTTCTTGGATTAAAATTTAATGTTTTATATTTCTACAGAAAAAGCTCTAATTCAATTCTCTAATTATGCAAAATTAAAACAAAAAATGTGTTAAATGCTAATTTTGGAATTTTAGAATAATTTATTTTCAAAGAAAATATATATAAAGTTCGTGCTTTTTTTAATTATTCATATAGAATATAATATTAGAGTTTGGTAATTCACAAAATAATAAATATATTTAGACTGGGAAGTAGTCGTATCAATCTCATTGAAATATTGAAGATCATATTGGCACATGTGTATTAAAAGTTTTTTAATGTAAATCTATTATTTCAAGATAAGATTTTTGTTTATTTTTTTTTTGTTGTTTTAAAGAGATAATGTAGACAACACATAAAATAATATATACTACAGCTTAAATTCAGAAATCTAATGAAATGTGTAGTATTTCATTAAGTTTTTACGTTTCTATATATAAATGAGTCATTGTAAGAGAGAATATTAATAAAAATAAATTTATGAATAATATAATTATATTAAATCAACAGTTAATTTTATGAAATGAACTTTGTTTGTATAATAATTAATCATTGAGATAATTAATGCATTTCATATTGACGTTAATTATTATAATAACTGACACTTATTAATTAGTTAATTATTAACTAATAAGAATATTTTGTTACTAAAAATAATTATAATAAAATTTATTTTTATAACATATTGCACTTTTTTTTGACTTTGTTTAGAAATAAGTTTAATTTCTTTGTTGTGAAATACAGATTTCTGTCAAAAATGGGCAAATATAATGACTTTGCCTCATAGCAATAATTTCATTTTGACGACCTACATGTTTAACCTTACCTATTTACCCCATCCCAACGATTTCGCCTACATATCCGCTGCCTTTTCTATCCGTACGACCACTTTACTCTTTTCTACATTGTTCACTATTTAATTAATTTTTTATTAATTAAAAACACATCTTAATTTTTTCTTATAAAGAAGATAAAAAAATTAAAGTAAAATAAAGCTTTTTCAATTCTGATTTCAATTCTGATCTCTCAAAGTTTTACAGGGAGAGAATTAGTTATGACATAAGTAACTAAAAAATATGAGTTAAGATTAAAATGAAAATTTACTACGATAACTAATTTTATACTAGAATTTCAAGAAGTTTATGGTTGACTAGTCGGCTTTAGTGACTGTTACGCTTCGTCTTCTGTTCAATTAATGCTAAAATACTATCTTGATATCGTAATCTGGTAATAAAATTTTAAGTTTTGAAACCAATTTGCGCGATTGATAAAAGTTATTATTTCAGGAAGGTCTTCGTTTACTATGCCCATTTGGTTCTTGCGTTTGAAAAGCTATCTTAGAGAAATATCTTAATTTTGCTAGGCTTGGTTATTTGCAAAAAAGTACTTAATATTTTCTTTCTCTCCTTTTTTCTGACATCTCATACATTACTGGTTAAAGCATATGTAATTCTTTATTTTAAAATCAATATGCATAGTTGATAAGATAGATTATTTCTAGCAGACCTATATTTGATATGCTTGCCATGGTCTTAATTCCTAGGTTTCCTTATGACTTATTCCTGTCAGATCTGGTTACTTGCAAATGGTGTAAGGATGAGTTTTTTTTTCTTATTTCGTGCAGCTATTGAAAGGGATTTCGTAAAACGGATTGTGTAGCTTCATCGTATTTCTGATTGATACCAAATTTTCATTACTGATCTGTAGCTTATTATCACAAACGCGAATTATGGTACTTTGTTTTTGGCGAAAGTGGTTTATACTTTGAATCGTTTAGACCAGGTTATACAGCTATTGAAAGAGATTTCGTGAAAGGGATGTTGTTGCTTTATCGTATTTCTAATTAAAAGGTTTACTCAATTTCTTGTCCATAGTGGTCAGTAGCCTATCATCACATTTACGAATTATGTCACTTTGATTTTGGCGAAAGTGATTTATACTTTGAATCCTTTAAAGTTATCTGATTTAACTGGATATATTTTTTTTTGACATATCTCAATATAATTTTTGTTAATGATTAAATTTGTAATTCCCGTTATTAGTTTAAAGTTAGGATAATAAGTACAATAATAAGTCAACTGTACACCCCCTTTTTCTATAGCCTGTTTTTAAAGGAAGTTGAGTTCAGGCTTTTGACATTCCAAATATAATTCAAATTTAATTTGAATACTATTTTAAATAAATAAATAGTTAATTAATTGTAATTGGTGATCTGCTTATTTTTGGGTCGAAAACTGAGCTTGTTTTTATGAAATCAGATTGGAAATAAGGCACAGTTGACCAGGAAAGTCTTTTTTCAAAAAAAAAAAACACATAAAATATTCCATCTAAATATTTGGCCTATAGTGTACTTTATTTGCACAAACACCGCAAACACTGCTCGAACACTCTGGAACATAAATCAAAGATAATTCCTTCAAATAGGAGGAGTATCTTTAGTGTAATAAAAGTACAAAATTTGATGTAAGTAAAATAATTCTGTAAATTAATTCAAAACATTTAAATATAAGTTACTTAGTAATATTTATTTATGTTTTATAATTAACAATGCTATAATATGAGCTATGGAATTTAATATATGTATGTATATATACAATAAACTATTCTTTTATTAAAAGTGGAACAGAACTTCAGTCCATATTTGATTAATCAGCTTAAATTTTAGATATTGTTGGGCACGTTCCATTGGTAGCGTAAATGTAGGCTATAAAATAAACATTTTTTGTTAAAAAATGTATCAAGATACTTTATTAGTTTATGTGATTTATTATTTGAGTACTTACCATAAGCATTATGACAGCTCCATTTGTCGAGTTCACATTGATTGCTAAATGTTTCAAAATCATCTTTCATTTCACCTTCTACTGTGATTTTGGAAAAAATGCTACATACTGGACTTTTTGGCACATTTTCACAAGTACTGCAAAATTTCTGGCAAATTTCTTTAGTCGTCTTCATCAATTCTATAAGATGTACAAAAACGTTATTATTAGAAATAATTTTTTGATTTTTAAATTTTTGACAATTAAATGAACCAAAGTACTCAAAAATTTACTTACTTGGAATGCATTTATTTTGACGTTGACAATTTTCACTATCAAGTACGCAATTACTTTTGAAGAGTTTGCAAACTCCAGCATCAAGAGCCCATGTTGGTGGACCATTGAAGTAAGGATCACAACGGAACATTCTGTTACATGTTTGTGGACACTTGCGTACGCCTTTCATGGCAATATTCGAGGATGCATTAAGTGCACAAATAAAAGTGAAGCAAATCAGACTAATAATTACTTTCATTTTGACCTTTAAGGTTGTTTTTTTTATAAATTGAAATTAATAGAATAATTTGTTGTAGAAACGAATGCTAAATTCGAACTGTGCAAATATTAAAAATCGTGTTTAATTTATATTTCATTCAAAAGTAAAAAATTCGTGACAAAATGCAAAATATATTGTAACTATTTTTTTGTTTTTATTTTTTTACGATTAAACTTTATTTTGCTTACATCAGAGACAAATTTTTTTTTAATTAACAGAAATGTTAATTACACAATTTGTTTTAATTAGAATTTTTATACTTCAGTCCAAAAATATTTAGACAAATTCTATATAAAGAGGCTTTTTCGAACTGTAGTGAGCTACAACAACAAAAATTTTATTATTATTTTAATTAATTGAATTTTTGGCTGACCATACAGCTGTTTCGAGTATTTTCAAATGCCCATCATCAGTGGTCTTGGTAAAAATTCTTGTATTTAATTATTCGTATATAATTATTTTTGAGACCGCAAGTACCAGGAATCGAACTCGGGTCCTGCCAAATGTGAAGCTTAGAATCAGAAATTCTTATAAAAATTGTTAAGCAACTCATTCCAGTGACTTTTAAGTCCACAGTAGGAAAAATAAAAAGAAAATCTAGGTTGAATTAAGAAATTTATACCCTTTTGTTCATAAAACGTGTATCTTATATCTTATACTCTTAATAATTTTTGTTTTTGAAATGGACTAATTGGTCAATTGTTAAATTTAATAATTTTTTAAAAAAATTATTTATTTACACCAATATTTCTACTACATATATTTTACAGTCATCTTCAAGGTACTATTATGATGATTTTTTATTTTATATATATCTGATATATGCATAGATATCTGTTATCTGTTATATTTTATTTTCTAAGGTATATAGGTATATAATATCTTTTATCTCATACATTTTATAATTTAAAGTCTTTCATGTTATACATTACATCTTCTCTTATGTCTGATATTTTATATTTTATGTCTTATGTTCTATATCTTTTTAATACATTTTTTTTTTCTTTTTTTTTTTATCTTTTAAATTCTTTTATTAAAGTAAGAGTTTTATATGTCAGTTAAACTATTGTTGTATTGAATGAAGTTAAATTCTTTACTCTTATATTAAAGCTACTGCACCATGGATACCTTTTTGGCCGTTAATCAAGGTAATTAAGGTAAGGTATAGTTATTTCTGACAGTTTTGTAGGTCTTTCATGTCAAATACATATGTCGACATGTCAAATAATTACATTAAAAATATAAATTTAGACCATACCATTAAGTAAAGTTAAGATAAACTAAATGGGTTTTATTCGCACAGTTGCTTCCAGAACCGATGAAACTAATTTTTTGTCATTTTGGCTATTGAAAATAGTCTACTTCCGAGTCAACATAGCGGTGAAACACTCAACCAATTTTTCAATTGATTCAGTTTTGTACAGCCGGAATTGCTTTTAGTATGTTAGACAGAGATTTTTGAATAATGGAATGGTATCGGAATGATGTCCTTTACTTGTCATTGTCAGTTTAGCAAGTAGTTTGTAGTTGTACGGTGCGAATTAAGGGGAAAACAGTGTATAATATGATCGATATCAAGAATTTATATACCATGATGATTTTCAACAATGTTGTATTCTGACCCACAATCGTTGTACAACTCTCAAATAATACTTTTAAGCTTATACTTGAGATATTATAATAATTTAATAATAACAAATTGTTTTATTGTATTATGTGCTTTTCTATAAAAGAAGTAAACGAAACGATGCATTTAAATTAATATCAGTTTTGGTAGAACTTTAGCGAGTGATGGTAAGACACTTGAAGCATCTGTCACACTTTGTGTCCGATATATGGTGTTGACAAATAAGAGAGTTTTGAAATTCGGTTGAAATTGGGATAGAATAGTAATTATATAATTTATTATCGATAAGTTAGTAATATTAAGAGATCAATTGAATTATATAAAAGCCATTTAAGTAGTACGAGTATAAACATTATCCTATATGTTGGTTTATTTAAAATAATCTTTATATAAAAAAGTAATATACATAATCATTAATAATAGTTCATAAGTTAAGATATATATAATAAAAATATATTGTAGTTTATTGATTTTAATAAAACCATATAAACATTTTTATTTAAAATTTTATTCATACAGCTTAATTACGTATTCCATAATTACGTAAACTTACGCATTTCTAAAAATGATCTTTTATATATCATTTAAATGAAGTGATCTTTTTTCCACTTTATCTATTCCAATCATTTCGCACAAATCACATTTTTACCACACTTTCTTTATTTAATACAATTTCTTCCTATATTAATTAATAATATATTATATAAATTAAATCTTAAGTGACATGACTGTAATTCAATATATCTACAAACGAGGCTCCGAATACGAATGACACACTGATCCCATAATTAAGGGTACAGCTGTCAGACTTCAATTGTTGAATGTTGCTAAACCAATATTTTATGCAACATTTCACTTTCAATAATTTAAATAATTGAGGTATATTGACGTTTTCTTTAAAATCATATAATTTCAATTGTTTAAATTTATAAAACTCCATTGACTATTTTTCGAAAAGTGTAAATAGCTTATAACATCATCGTTTCCGTATTAAAGTTGTGGCATCTTCAAGTCATTGAAGTGAATAGTAGCTGTATTCCAATATGGTAATTGCCTATTTAAACAAATAATTATTTTTAAATAAATAAAAAAATTAATTATATATAGTTTTTAATGCAAAAACCAAAACTCAAATCTGAGTTAATAAATAATAGGTCGGTGATTTGAGCATCATGAAAGACCAAGATGAAATGTGATTAATGAGTTATTTTAGGATATTAACAGCAATTTTGTAGGAATGAGGAAGATAAAGAGTATAAAATAAGTAATGAAATTTTAATTAATTTTTTCTGTCAATGAAATTAACAAATAATTTCAATAGCTCTAAACAATAACTAGAATTTATTGGTGATAAAGCGTAATTTCAATAAGTAAATGGCTATTATTAAGTAAACCATTCATGTAATTATGTTTAAATTTAATTTAATTAATTATTCTATTTAAATTATTTTAATCGAATCTTTAATCACAGCAGAATAATGACAGAATATTAGTATTTATCTATATGTCAGTAAGAGTATATTATTCTATTTAACAACTTCAGTTTACATCGACTTTGATTTGAAGACAGTATAGATATTTGAAATATTTTGGTAAAAGGTATTATATAACTGCCTGAATATATGTTGTAAAATATATACAACCAAAAAACGACTGTCAAAACATTTTGAATTTTTGAATCCACGTAATAGACAATTATAACTTTTATGGTTAGTATGTATATATGATAATTATGGTGAATAATAAAAAATCATTAATGAAATACTTACGCTGTTCATTTTCCTGTTACGAATCCTGCTATAGATCCTGGATCCTCTTATAGGTCCTCCTTTTGAAAACTTTTAGTTACGAACCATAACATGTGATGAATCCCAAAATAAATAGCTCAAATAAGCATTGCTAAAATAATATATTGAAGAAATGATGTCCCGGTAATATTTCAAATAAAATGTTAGAATAAATAACAAATAAGAAAAATATCAACGCTCGAATAAAGAGAAAGACATTTAAATGGCCGGAACACTACTTAAGGAACACTACCCTATGATAATATGTGTTAAGCAAATCCTCAAATGGAATCCCCAAATCAACAAACGACAAGATAAACCAAAATTATCTCGTCTATATATAGTAAGTCTGAGAAAATATTCAACGAGCTATGACATTTAGTAACAAATAGGGAAAAATGGAAATTATTAATTGTTACAATACTTGGTCTATATATAAATCTGAGAACATAGTTTACAAACTACCACATATGGTTAGAAATAGATAATAATGGAGATTTTACGTATCTTTCTAATGAAATATGGTTACATATTTTAAGATATGCTGATTATCTCAAACATGAGGTACACGTATTTTTTAAACAATACTTTTAAATATTGTTTTTTAAACTTCATAACAAGCAATAAGTTCTGATTGTTTTTATATATATTTTATTTGGAAATTAAATGTATTCAAGTTTGAAAAGGTTAATTGATAACTGTTGTGTAAATCTAGATAAACTCACATGTGTCATAATGTAAACATGTTTGCACAACTGGTCGTTAATGCTGTAGTATTCTTATATTTTTATGGGTAATGAACTCATATAGGTAATAATATAAGTTGAAAATAATCAAAGTTATACTGAAATACACATTTTTGTCATATTTATATTATTTAAATTAGTGGTATTAAAAAAACAATAAATGTAATGAAGGTGAATTACCTCACAAAAAAACTGACTTGGTTTATATGTGTATGGTATAGTCCCATTGAAGATATCGTTAAAAACTGCACGTTGAATAAGGTTTTCCACAAAAAAAAGAATATTTAAAATATGTATCTTTTAATTAAAATAGTATTTGCTAATCAAATAAATTAAATTATTAGATCTAAAAGTTAATGATTAAATTAGCATGTCAAACTTAAAAATTAAATCCACTAAAAATGTTTTAATAATTATCACAAAAAGTGAGATATATCTTACAGTAGCTTTTTTTATGGTTTGGATATTTTTGATATAAGTTGTCAAGTGTTCTTAATTAATATACAAGTATAAAATTTTTTTGATTAATCAACAATTTTGATTAATATCTTATGAAATTATCACCTGATTATGTCTATAAAATATTAATATCATAGAAATAAGTAAGAAAAAATATAATTATTAACTATACTACAGTTTGGTCAGTTAGATGTAAATAATCATAAATAATTACGTTAGGTTTCTCAGAATATTATAAAATACTTAAACTTGTATAATTTAGAAGGTTTTTACTACGCTTCGTGAGACCAGTTAACTTAATTGTAATTTAAGTAATTCAAGCAATCTCAAGTATCTTTTGCTGATGAGAAAAATTTCCCTATTGAGCAGTTCATAAACTCAAACTGCTCAAAATGATCGTGTTTAATTAACTAAAAAGCAGTGCCGAA